CTCCCTCCTCGTCCCTTCGCCCTTTCCCCTTTCCCCATTTCCCTCCTGCCTCTCTCCTCCGCCCCTCTCCTCCTCATGCCTCCGCCCTTGCCCCTGCGGCGCGGACCTGTTGCTGCAGGTGCCGCGCGCGAGTGTGGAAGGGCGTCTTGCGAGCAAGGCAAGAGTGTTCTGACATGCTCGGATATGGCACTCCTCCCACTCCCATCCATCGCTTCATGTTGTTACACTTTTTTCGGGTTTGCTCTGGGTGGCCTGGGTGGCTCTGATGGGCGCCAACTAGTTCCAGGACCTGCGCGGGCCCTGGCAGGGCTCCAAACTCCTGGCGCCTTGAGGGCAAACCGAAAACCATTCCAACACCTCTTTTGCTTCCTCCTCCTCCTCCTCCTGCTCCACCTCTTCCTCCATGGCCCCCTCCTTCCCCCCCGCCTCCGCCCTTCCGCCAGGCCTCCTCCCTTTCCCCCCATCCCCTCACCTTTTTTATCAATATGATGACTCTGTCATCGCGCCGCCCGTCGGCAGGTCACCCGCAGGGGCGCGAAGATGGCGTCGCATCTCGCGCTGCGGCCTCGGCCACCACTGCACGCCACCTCTCTCGGCGCGCCCCGCGAAGTCCCGAACGACAGTGTTCTTTGCTTTATAGCATGGGCAAGCCCTCGTCTGTGAACATTCGGCTCGAAGCGCCACGCGCACCGTGCCGGCGCCATGCCTCCAAAGAAGCGGGCCCGCCCTTCCTGGGAGCAATCGCAGAGCGACGACCTCTGCAGCGATGCTGGCGATGACAGTTCATGCGTCAATGAATCCGATGGTTGGGATGACTGTGACGCCTCCGAGGACGGCGACTTCACCGATTGTGAGGATGATCAGTGGGAAGAGTCAGACCATGCTGACGAAGAAGAGGCGGGCCATGTTCTTTGCGAGCGCTGGCTTCGCCTGTGCGCTGAAGGCAGGATGTCCGCCAAGGACTTGTGCCTGAACTGTTTCTGGGCAGAGAAGGCGGGCGCTCGTGGCCCATTCTCTACCTACGCGTTGGGGGACACGAAGCACACGGGCAATTACCAGAAGAAACTGAACACTGCCTTCAAGCTCACAGGCGAAGTGAGGCAGATACAGGTCGACATCCCCCTAATGAAAAATAAGAACGACAGGGTTCTGACGCCGACACTGGTCACACCTCCTCAGGAAGCGCTTGCTGCCGAGTACTTAGCGAGCAAAGAGCTCCGGGACGGGTGCGCGTCGTTGGAGACGTCGCGTGAGTGGCAGGACGCTTACAGAGACCACCCAGTTGTAAAGGTTGCACGTGACAACGACGAGCATGTGATCCCGTGCGCCCTGTACATGGACGGCGTCCGATACACCCGCGCGATAGGAACAGGGCGCCAAGATCAGTTCATAGGTTTCTTTTTATATTCCCTAGTAACGAGAAAAAGACATTTATTAGCCATGCTCCGCAAGTCGCGCCTATGCAGGTGCGGCTGCAAAGGGTGGTGCTCCCTGTGGCCGTTGTTCCAATTTTTCCATTGGGGGCTCGTGGCTCTCGCGAACGCCGTGCGACCCGCACGCCAATGGAACGGCGTAGCTTGGCCCGACGAACACCCCCTTGGCCAACTTCAGCAAGAACGGCCTCGACTGCCCGCAAGGGCAGCCTTGGTGCAGCTCAAGGGGGACTGGGCCGAGTTCTGCCACAGCCTAGGCTTCCCCACGTGGCAAAGCAAGTATGCGCCGTGCATGTTCTGTCTCGCACGTAAGTCAGAGTTATACGATTTTGAGGGCATCACTGGTGTAGGTGCACACAGGTGGGGTACAGAAGGCCCACTCGCATATGCAACTAGCTGTAGGAAGTGCGAAAACAGCGTGACTGTAAATTCGCGGGATGACTTGATTGCAGTATTGACAGCCCTGAGGTTTGAGAACAAGAAATCCAGAATTGGAGGCCGCATTTTGCAACGCAACATGGTTTTAAATGGCGTGCGATTGATGCGGCTGGACAGACTAGAACCTTCGCTCAGCTTGCCCGACACCCACCGCTTAGAACACGTGAGAGAGTTCCCGATTCGCCTGGTTTTTTGGCGGAGAAACCTCATTCGGAACGCGTGTACAGACAGGGTTCTCCGGAGGAACCCCCTCCTGGACCATTCAATCGTGGGGGACCCACGGTCGATCCTTCGAATCGACACATTACACACACTTTACCTAGGTGTACTTCAAGGGTACTGCGCCGCTGTAATTTGGAAGATCGTTCGCGCCAACCCATTTCGGGCTACAGGCACAGCAGATGAAGTGATAGAATTTTGTTTTCGGCGCCTTCACAATCATTTGAAGGAGTGGTACCAGGGCAACCCAGATGTGAAGTCCAGGCTAGGCGATTTCACACCAAAAATGTGGGGCCACGGCAAGAAGGGCCAGATCTCGCTCAAGGGGGCCGAGACGGCGCCGCTGGTCAGATGGTGCTTGTCCCTGCTTGATAAATATGAAACCGTCGGCGGGAACGCAGATTTGAAAAGAGCTGGTAGGTCTCTCGTCTGCCACATGCGCATCATGAAAATGAACGGCCCCCATTTGACTAACGAGCAACACGGGGAATTGCTGTCATCGTTTAAAGAGCACGTGCTCGCCTTGCGTGACTGTGCAATTAAATATAAGCCAAAACACCATTTATGGGCCCACTTAGTATTGCTGTCGAAACGCAACGGGAATCCTAGATTCCACAGTTGCTTCCTAGACGAGTCGCTGAACGGGATTGTCGCTGTAGTGGCGAAATCGTCTCACGCTGACAGCTGGGAGAAGCACATATTTACAAGGTTGCGCCTGGGACCAGCTGTCAACCCCAATTCGTATTTTGCAGCTGTGTGAGGGGGACTGTGCCTATGATATTGGGCGGGATGGGTTGGGCAACAAAAGCAACAACATACAAAGGGGGAAAGGTGTGGTGAAACCAGAGTCGCAGGCACACGGTCTCCAACTCGCGTGATAGCCAGTCGATTTAGGGCAGAGGCGGTGGTGTGGCAGCAAAAAAATACACGATTGCGCGTCTGGGCTCCATTTCGGGCCCCTGGGCTTCCGGGCGCAGGACGGCGCAGGTCGTTCGAACCCCATCGGTTTCGTTCTCCCCCCAGCCTCCTTCGCAGGAGCACCTGATCGAGACCCCTTGCAGGCCCGAGTGAGTAGCAGGCGGGAGTGTGGGCTCTACATGGGGACCCTGGGCTTCTGGGTCTAGGTCCTTAAGGTTCAGGCTCCTTCGCAGGGACACCAGGTCCCGCCGCGCTGCCGCGATGCCCAGCAAGCGGAAGAGGTCGCTGACGCCGATCCCCAAGTGGCTTGAGAAGCAGGCAGGCCGTCCAACACCAGTTGGTCAACCAGCTGCAGGGATGAAAGCATGACGAGGAGGGAGGTTTTAGAGGCACCCCGATCCTCCTTCCCCTCCCGGCCCCCTTCTCCATCCAACCCCACTCGAGTGTGGTGCAGACTCCTCATCCCTCCTTCTTTCCTCTTTCTCCACCTCCGTCTACTGGGCCAACAGGGGCCCCCCGTAACCCTTCAAGGCTCACGAGGGAATACAGCCATGGAGTGGCTCTTTGAATTCCTTACCCCACCACCCAGACTGATAATCGGCGAATGGTGCCTTCCCTTCCACCGCCACCAACGCCCCCTGACGATGATGACGTGGCGTCGCTGCCATCTTTATCTTTACCTTCTGGGACTTTCACCTTGCCAGATGGAGAGCTCTCTCCGCGCTCAGATCCAGAACTTCCCCCTGGAATTGATGATGCCTGAAGTCCTCGGGCCAACCGTTACTCCACAAACCCTTTGTCGTCCCCCTCGTCCGGGGCACGTCGCTCAGAGAGGCGCCAGCTCGATTTTGTGAAGTGCTGCCTCAACTCATCACTGTTTTGGACCCCCTGAGTTCCGAGAGGGCCTTGGGGGAAAAAAAACATATGCCGTCCTAGCCGCCCCAAGACATCTAGACACCCCCGCAGGAGAATGAGAAGAGTAATGAGTATGAAGAGGAGGAGGATACGGATAAGGAGGAGGGAGGAGGGAGGAGGAGAGGGAGGGAGGGGGAGGTGGAGAAGGAGGAGGAGGTCGTGACCCCCCTGGGTGGGGACCCCTGGGCACTGTCCAATATTGCTCTCCCTCCCGAGGCTGCCAGTGGGCCCGACGAGTGGATGGTTAACTGGATCGACGAGCAGCTGCACGGCATGGAGGGCAAACTCACGATCGACAAGCGGGACTCCATCACTCCTCCAACCAGAATTTACTCCCATGTCATCCTATTCCCGCGCTATCCTGGTCACTCCATCTCCTTCTCCTCCTCCTCCTCCTCCTCCTCCTCCTCCTCCTCCCCCTCCTCCTCCTCCTCCTTCTCCTCTTTCTCCCCTTCCTCGACGTCCTCCCTCCGCCTCCTCCCTCCAATCCAACTCGCTCAAATCCAACTCAAGCCATCCTGTCACCTTTGGCCCGACTCGCTTCCATCCTCTACCCTTCCTCCTACACATCCTTTGTCCCTCCCCTCCTCCCTAAATGTCATGCTGCTGCTGTTGCTCCTCCTCCTCCTCCTGCTCCTCCTCCGCCTCCTCATTTCCGCCTCCCTTCCTCCGCATCATCCTCGCACCGACCCACTTCCCTCCTTCCACGTGCGCTCGCCCCCCTGCCGCTCCTCCATTGAGGACACCATCGAGACGCTCATGGGGATGATTCGCAAATTCTCTGGGCGCTGCAGGCCACGCCGTGGGCGGGAAAGGAGGAGGAAGAGGAGGGGGGGGAGGGGGGGGGAGAGGAGGAGGAGGACGAGGAGGAGGAGGAGGAGGAGGAGGAGGAGGAGGAGGAGGAGGAGG